CCCCCACCACCCCACACACGCACACAGCCTGAGTCTTTCTTTTTTACCTTTTCATCCATCTGTTTGTCCCTCTCTCGCTCTCATCATCGTCATCGTAGGGGAGGGGAATGGCAGGAAGTGTGAGGCAGGAAGAGAAGTAAGACTAAACTGTTGTAACTTGACGGAAGCCAGAGTGAACTGTTGTGTAGACGAGGTGCGTGTCTGTTGGTATGTGTTGGTGTTTGTGTGAATGACTGTGTCAGCCAACAGGAGAAAAATAGGATGCAGTGAGACAAAGGCCTATTGTCTGTGCCCACACACTGCACAAACATGCACATGCAGATACAATAATACAAAATGTAACACACTATTAAATCAATGTATTCTGAGAGCAGACAGATACAGACAGACAGCCAAAAATATAGATCTTGCATGCTACTCATTAAACAAATTGTTGTCATGAGACTCAAGGCAGGTGCTTCAGATGCATTGCTCACACATTTAAAAGCACAAAGATGAAACAAAATTCTCTGGCCTAAATTTACCATTTTATACAATAATATGATATAGGTAGTAGTAGGTTGTCAGATTTTGTATTATATAGACTATATAATTAATTAATTTACTATGTATATGCTATTAAAGGACAATTCAAAATGTGATATATGTAAGATTAATTAATTACTCGCAGGCATGCTTTCTCTTGTTTTCGAAGCTGCTAGAATAGGGACATTTCAGTTTTGCCTTCATGGAGCAACTTTGTAGTCCACTGGTTAAGACACTTAACTTATAACAGGTTTAAAACAGCTCAATATATCTGTTGCATTTCAAATCTCTTTCTTTCTCCTTTGTTTACAGTCAGTCCATAACTTTATTTAGCCAATAAAGCTACAAATGTCTTAAAAAAAAGTTTAATTTATGAATCTGTATCAGAATAATTTGGCAGACAAGTAATTTTGATTTATTCCCACGTACACATGCACCTTGACATTGCTCATATGACACAGAGGGCAGGAAAAATACTGATCAACCCTTTATTTTTCTCTCGACACAAAGGTGGAGATGACACAGATCATGTGAATCAGATAAGACTATAGATAGTTAAAACCTGTTCACTGTTTATATCATTTGTAACTTGTATGGACTTAAAGTCATATGAATGTAACCTTTATTATTTGGTCCATACATTTCATTGTCTTTCAATGCTCTGGTTATTGAATCTTATAATGAAAACGGAAAAATTGGCTCACTTTTTATACAGAGCTCCTATCATATCACAATCAAAAAATAGGTTTGTGCGTTCTGCTCGCACATGTGCTCGAAAAATTCCACACAATAGATACATATCCACTGACCCAAAGCAGCTCTTCTGTGTCACGGTGTTATAACAGAGCCAGGAAGTATTCTGTGTCATTTCTTCAGCCTTTATCTGTGAGAACCTAACTGAGGTATGACCTGACTTCCTAGTGAAGTTGACCTCTGCGATGAAATGCTATCATACAGGATATGTGGGAGGCAAAGGGCTCTTGAGCTCTCCCGACCTTTGTCACATAGGCTCTGTATGTGTATGTGTTTGGTAGCTTAGTAATGTTGAAAGGTGTCAGCAAGTAGCCTTTTAAAACCCATTGTGCCTTTCCATTGTGTTGTTGTTTTCTTATAATGTGAACAGCCCCCCCATGACATTTTCCCCCAAATAAGCCCTGCATATTATTTCAAAGCTAGCAGCCTGTGTTTGGTCAATACTAAAAAATAACTCTGAGATAACTGCATTGGTGAAATGTATTTAAACAATGTGAAATAGTTATGCAAAAGGTTATAAAAACACTGAACATACATTTGCTGTGTGTGACTTGGTACACACGTAGGCACGGGGCTTAGGGGGTGGACAGATTGTTCTTATGAACGACTCTTAATCTGACCAGGAAGGTCTTACTGAACTAACTTGGCCATACTGTAGGTAAAAGCTTGTAATAAAAAAGCACAACAGTTGATACAAATAGTGTTGCTTATAACTGTGGCAATCAATGCTTTGGAAGTTATTTGTTTGCTGAGGAGGAGTTTCACAGATTAAAAATATGTTGTTTTTAGCCTTGAGTGTAGCAGGAGCTGCCAGGTCAAGGTTTTATCCTGCGAGTAACACATTCTCCCTTGATTCATTAGATACAGAATCTGGTGCAAACATTCTTATTTCCCAGAGGATGTACCCTGAACACTTTAGGGTTACTGACTTTTCCTACAGTCCCACTTTAGGTTGAAAACCATACTTCTCCTAAACTGTATTTATCCAATAAAGGGACAAATCCCTTTAAAGTTTGCTTCATAAGATAGTAACACTTTTACTTAAATACACAATCTGAGTACTTCTTCCATCTCTGGTCCTCAACTGTATTTATCCAATAAAGGCAAACATGACTTTATAAACTC